AAGTATTTAATCTCAGGTGTAATTATCTTTTTTTCCTCCTGGGTTTCTATATACTCAGGAGGGGTCAGGGAGACTAGTGTGTGTGATATATGCATCCCACCAACCCTTCTCTACATGTGACTGAATCTTATCTGGCACTTAAGAGGCAGGAGAATTCAAGTATCTGTTCCTAATATATATTCAGATTTAGAGGTAACACTGAGAGTGCACAGAATTGACCCAAAAGGTTCTACTCACAAGATGATATTGGCTTCCTTTCTACACTGTAAACCAAGTCCAAATCCATTAGCCCATTTCTGATACCATTTCATTCAGCAGGTATAGGTACAATAGTAACTTGAGGTTCCATATCTAACAGGGCCATAGAAGGTTGATTTTCTCCCTTCACCAAAATTCCCCAGTATATTCAAACAGGTGCATATGACTTTTGATCATCAGTAGGGACAGGGAACCCTAAGCTCTCATGTACATTCACCACCAATTATTATAAATTACACTCAAATTCCATTAATTAGCTGGTGAGGTCCTCCTTCTTTCTATTACAGTCATGTCTCTATTGGAATTTTATCCTCATTACTACAAGTATCAAGAACTAGGGAAATTATGAAATTTTATACTATTTTTGGGTTAACAAGGTAACATGTTACAGTTTCTTGAGTGCCAGTTGAAGACAAGAGACCTCTGGGTCAAGGACAAAGGACAGGTTATTACTCACAGTAAGAGCAAGTGTGCTTATCAGAATTTTGCCCCAGGAAGCATGAGCCTCACTTTGTGCAGGGTGATGTAAAATGGTCATATGACACCTACATTACAAGAAAGGGAACCTCAGTTTGGGAAGCTCACTTTTATAAAGGGTAGTAAGCACCCTTTCCCTTTGCTCTTGAAGAAGACATTATCTTTATTATACTGGAATAAGCATTCCTTCCCTATGATCCAGAGCAAATCACTCTATCTTCCATAGGCCCTAAAAAAGCCTTCTCTTTACTTCAGAGAGAGAAATACTGAGAGAGAGATACTATTTCTATCTGCCAAAACTGCTTGCTATTTAAACACCTTTAACAAGACAGCTTAAAAGAATGAAGAATCTCTTTCAAGATGTACAGAAACATGCAACACAAATACAGAATTGCCTTCCAACAACATATTAGTGACATTGCTGGTAATATGCCATCTTCAAACTCGTAAGATAATGGCAAGTTTCTCTCTGACTTACACTATCACCTACCGTGCATTGGATTTCCCTGTTGTTTAACTAGTCAACACATACTTTCAAACTTTACATGTGGTGTTGCTCTGATGTGTGTGAAATCATTTTATTTTAATTTCAATTTTCTTACTTACCAATGAGATTCATATAGTCAACAAATATTTGTAAGACAGATATTCTTCTAAAGACTTGGAATACATTAGTGAGTATGAAAGAAGAAAAATCACATATTTTCAGGGATTACATTCTCATAAAGAAACAATAAACATTAACTAAATTATAGGGTATGTTGGAAGATTATATATGATATAAAGATACAATAAGGTAACAGAGAGTTGATTGAGGTAATGTATGTTTATTGAGTATATGATCTATTGTGAATTGGCTATTTATGATTTTTCCCCAAGTTTTCTATGGACTGCTTCTTTTTCCTCATTGAAAATATTTTTTACTTATTTTGTCATTTTAAGTATTGAAGTTTGTAGCCTAAATCTCAATTTACTCCACTATGTATATGATGATTTTGAAATTAGGGGTTTGCGTATTTTCTTATATTCAAACTTATCAAACTTTTCCTTCAATACCTGCGCATTTTTTTTGCCTTTAAAAAAATTCTTCCCTATTTCCACAAATAAAAATATAAATGTTCTCTTTGATTCTAAAAATGTCATAAATATTGCTTTCCAAAAGTAGGTATTAACTATTTTTCCACTTAAAAGTTTATTTTTCTGTAAAGTGTGATGAAAGGCCATAAGTTGATTTTTGCCCTAAAGAAAATATCAAATTAACCCAGCACCCCTTATTGAATGAAGTCTTTTTTCCAATCATCTGAAATGTCACTTCAATTATGATTCCAGTTTACTACATGCAAATCTTTTTTTAACTCCATCCTTTGTTTCCATGACAAATTTGACCTTGCTTTTTCATCCCTGCACTCCATACAAAGTGCTTTCCAGAGCTGGCAGTTATACTATTAAAATATAAGACAAATCATGTCACATTTCCGCTGAAAATACTGACTCTCCATCACACTCCGTGTAAACGCCAAATTCATTCTAGCACCTCCCAGGCTTAGAAGCTTTATGTTTCTCCCTAAACTCACTTCCTGATCTTCTCTACCTTGTACTCAGCTTCAGCCATGCTGGTATCCTCAGTCCTCCGTGAACACGCCAGGCCACAAGTGTCTTGGGGGCTCAGCTCTCGCTGTCCCTCTACCTGGAATGCTCCTTCCCCAGACAGGCACAGGGCCAGTTTTCTCACTGCATTCAGGTCTTCACCCCAAAGCCTTGCTCTCAGCAAGGCTCTCCCTGGCCTCCTATCTATTCAACTTCAGACTCCTGCCTGGAATTTACATCCCTCATTCCGTGCTTCCCTTTTTTATCCTTCTTAACACTGATCACTGTGAAAATACTTTATATTTATTAACTGTGTTTTGGCTACTGTCTGACACACTAAAATTAAAGTTCCATGAGGGTAGGATTATTTTATTTGTCTCTTTCCTCCATTACCATATCATAAGTACCTGTGCCTAAAGACTGCCTGGCAGAGAGCCTACCTGTAGTAACTGTTGGTGGGATGCAGATAAATCAAGCAAATAAAAAATTGGGGTCAGAGTGAGCCAAAAGGGGAGCTAGACAGTTTTCTCTGTGTCTTTCCCCAAAGCTAGAAACACAATTGCCTCCAGGGGACAAGTGGGAATTTTATTAGAGTGAAACAGGCCAGCTGGGGGCTTGGCCAACTTGAGAGAGCATTCTGAGTCTATAATGGGCTGAGCCCTTCCTCAGACCCAGCTGCTTGTATCCTTGTTGGAATGTGGGCCCTAATCCTCAGTTTACTATTTTTTAAGGTGACCCAGAAATAAGAAATTTTGTAATGTGAAATCTCCTAAACGTCCAAGTAGCTATTTAAACACAGAAAACAAAAACAACAAGATCAAATGAAACATGACAGCTGGCTGAAATTGGCACATAGGTGGCCTGGAGGTGTTTGTCAGACTAAATTGTGTGCTGTTCGAAAGAAAATTAATCCCTGCTATGGAGAGGTGGGCTTGCCTTGTGTCATTCTTGAAGCGAACAGCTTCAGGTCACGTTGGGTGGGGAATGAACAGGTATTACTGCTTCTTTCAACTCACGGAGCTCCCTGCTTCCACCTTCCCCTGCTATTCATGAAGTCTGGGGACCCTGGGCAGAGGGTGGTCACAAGAACTCTTCCTTGGAAGGCAAGGGTATATTTTGGTGAAGTGTGGGGTGGGTGAACTAGAGAGAGGGTTTTGAGGGAAATTTATATGGCACGACTAAGGAAAGGCAAGGGGGGCAGGAAGAGAGGAACGCAGACCCATGTGCCAGGATAGCGTATCTGAGGGGACTGCATTGGGGTTAATGCACCCTCTCGCCACCAACCACCACACCTCTATGCGGCAATACAGGGTTGAAGGAATTACACCAAGGCACAAATCCCAGCCTGACTGCCCCATGCCATCTATTTCACCTGGAAACAGAGCTGCACATACTTCCATCGATGCTGCCCATGTGCTTGGGGGAGGGGTAAAACCAGCCAGGAGGTCCCTGTGAAGGGTCAGTAGCCACCCAATTTGTTGGCATACAGCCAACAAATGGTGCTTCTGGGGGCAGCAGACCTCAATTTGGTGGAGCACTGGGTGGAGCCACCTGTGGTTTCAGGCAACTACTGAGAGATGCATGGACTGCCATGCCCCATTCCCTGGAGAGAAGCAGCAGGCTCGATCCCCTGATGCCCTTCCTCCATAGGGAGGCAAGGTACAGTCCAGCGGGAGGAAGAACAGTGAAGGGGCTGCCATACCTGAGTTCAGCAAGGTTCACAGGAATTGTTTATACAGTGCAGGGCAAAGGAACCAAGACCTTCAGGTCCAACATTTACTGCACCTGGGTCCTCTGGGAAATGTGAGGCCACCCGCAGCCACATGCTTAAGTGCACACTGTCATAGCGTGTGTTTAGGCTGAGGGTTGGGGGTTCTGCTTTGCAGTTGTGGCATGAATTCCCTGAAGTAAGGTTTTAGGCATGAACTCGGCTGCTGCGTTAACACTTGAGTCATCCCTGTCGGTCCATCTGGTTTCTTTGACAGTTGCCACATCTTTTGTGCACAGAGCCGGGGACAGCACTGTGGATACCGTCAGAAGTCCGCCTTTTCCTTGCACCTTCCCGTCTCTCCTAGGCCCCACTGCCCGCACCTCTTTTCCTGTACTCTCGCTCCCTTGGTCAGTCTTTCTTCTTGGAATCCTTCTTTCCTCAGTGCCCCTGCCCCTTTGGCCCCTCATGCATGCATGCACAGATCCTCTCTTTGAGTGTCCTTTAGCCTCTCCCCAAGTCCCGGGCAACTTGGTCTTTCTCCCCCTTGCTCTAGACTTCTAAGCTTCTCTGTGCCCCCCTCTACTCAACTTACTCTGCCTGTTTTCCTCTAAACCCAAGATCTCCCCCTTCCTCCTTTGTTCTTTACCTCCTTCCAGTTGGGTGCCTCCCCCTCCTGAGACATTCCTCACCCAGGGAGACTCCCATTTCTGGCCCCTCCCCACCTCTTCCTAGGCAGTCACCTCCCCTTTCCCCTCCCCCCACAGCCCATCTCTAGTTCCTTCTCCTCCCTCCTCCCAAGACCAGGCCAGCTAAGCCCTATTTCCTTTTTAAATGACTGATTATGATAGTAGCTGAACTTTGTTTGCAGCCTGAATTTACAGCTGTCCCTTCCTTTCATACCCATCCACCAAACACATCAGATCTATTCAACATGATAAAGTGCTTACACACAGCATGTCATGTCCACATACATTTGTATTTTTCAGAACAAATCAACAGTTATGCTGGCAATGATGTTGGTTAGTAGGGACTCTAAAGCTTTCTATACATTAAAAAGTTACATTTTTTTGTGTGTCTCCAAATCATACATTTGCCTCCACCAATGTGGCCAATTGTACCCTAACAGTTAGGACTTTTTCACCAAATCATACACATAGATATGGAAGTCATCATCAAACTTAATGAAATACACAGAAGGTTTGGCTTTGACTTGGTGAATGACCTTGCCTGTCCTTTTGGAGCCATCTTCTTTGGTATATTCCACATGTTTACCTATCAGGCCATCTACAACTCCTTCTGGTTCCCTCTCTGCTGGAGGAGACTCACTGGACTCTGGCATGATACGGAGGTCTCCTTCTTTATAATCATCTAGAAGCTGGTACATGTACAAGACAGGATCTTTCTCATAGGTGATATAAAACCAGGCTTTCATGATTGGTGCTTGGGCTAGGACCATCCCTCTCCATTCATCCTTAGAACCATGCTCGCCCTCAAAAATATGTTCCACAGCTTTACCGATTATGGTATTTGCAAGGCGCAAATCTCTGACTCGAGAAAATGGCACCTTATCAGGAAGGATTTTAAGCTTTAAAATCCTTTCATCTTTGTGAAGTTCCAGTCCATAAACACAGTCAATTCCGTCATATTTCACCAGATAAAGAGAGGGATTTATAGGCACCTGATCCAGAACGGTTCCTTTCCACTGGGTGATGGGCTCATCGCCTTCCTTCCACCCGTGTGAAATTCTGCAGCCCACGATGTTCCTGCGGGGCTGGGATGAAGGTCTGCCCCTCTGCTTCTTTTGAGAGGATTTTTTCTTCCTCATATTTGCAGATCCGGTGTGGCGACTGACAGCTTCTCTGGTTTCCTGCCCTGCAGCTTCCTTTTTGTGGGGGGTCTTCATACCTGCAGGTAGTGGAAGGAGGCTAGGGAGAAACATTTAGTTAGTATTATAGCATGAAATTTTTTCTCTATCACAAAATCCCTGGGCACCAGGTACACTGCTGCCCAAATTATTTGGATCTGTCCAACAGGAATGCTGGTTATCAAGATATTATTGGATGCTTGCCTGCAGTGCCCTCCCTCAAGACTCCTTTGGCTGTGATGGAGTTTTAGAGAGGTGGTAGTTGTTTTGATTGAGGCCCTAGCAATAGGCATCAGGCTCCTTTGCATAATACCTGATCCTCTGTTGCTATCCTAGAGTCCCCACACCAAATACATATATTCATCATTTCTTAGACTTGAGTCCATATATTTCCACTAATGTAGTCCACATGCCCCTTGCCCATCGCAGTCTGCTCTTCATCCCTCTTGCTTCCCATAATGATGCTTTCTGCCTGGTGTTCACCCCTCTCTCCTTCATCTCCTTCCTGTTCATCCCCATTTTCCCGCTGGGATCCCACAACAAACCTATTTCCCTTTCTGGCCACCTTTGTATACCATCCAGGTGCCTTTCGGCTCCCCAGTCCCACCCCCAGTGCCCAAGCCACTTCTCAGTCTCTCTCATGTCCCATCCCAGCACTGGCCCCAGTTGCCCTGCTTGACACAAACCAACCCCCATCCTCCAGTTTTCTAGTCCAGTGCCCACCTCCCCGCGTCCGGGGTTCGCGCGCCTCACGTGCCCAAATCAGACACTTCGCTCCTGCCTGCGCTGTGAGCCCGTGTGGAAGGAGGATTAGCGGGCGCCGAGCCGGGAGCTTGCTGAAGCTGGTTGGAGAGAATCCGTAGACGAGGAGCGTGTCCCGGAGGCGGCCGGGCAGGCGGAGAGGATGGTGGCTGTGTCTCCGGCACTGTGCTCGCGGGCCCTCTGCCTCCCTGACGGCGGCAGACACCCCTCTGCCACATCGGGATCCCACCAGCCGCTACTGCTGCAGCAGTCTCCTCCCTCCTTCCGTAGCGCCGCTTCCTGCCAGGAGAGCGGCCTCCCCTTCCTGCCAAACAACGTGCGCCCCCCTCCCCCAACACTCACGCCCACCTCTGCCCGGGGCTTGGGAAGCGCTTGTTGCCTCCCGGACCCGCCAGTTTCCAAAATCCGGAGCAGCCTAGCCCACAACAACCCCCACCCCCAACCACCCAGCGTCCCTTTCTCCAGTTCAGGGCACTGAGGCTCCCCACCCCCACTCCACCCAACCCCCACTCCACCCAACCCCCACCTCGGTGCCCCTGCCCCATCTGTTTTCCATCTAGGAATTCGCCGTTTCCTTTACCCGGTGGTTTTCTGGAGTTATTCTTTTTACTCAAAAACCTGCCTTTCCTTGTCATTTAAAGGGATTTGTAGTAGAATGAGAGAAATGTACTAGTACTTAGTCTGCCATCTTGACCCAATCCCTAGGTAATTTTTACTCTGATCAACCCAGACTTTACTTCTTGAGTATACTTTTTACTTTTTCCTTTTATTTTTTCTTTTTCACCGATTGGTAAAAAGAACTACATGCACAATGTGGACACTGTAAAATTCAGAAAATTCACTTGAAGGAAATAATCCACTTTTGCCAGAATTCACAGCAAAATATTAAAACTTATTATTTTCTCTGCCTTTTTTCTAATTTCTTAGAAATCTGGGATCATTTTGTTAAAAATTATTTGTAAAATCACTCTATAACCATTAGTTGTTAAAAATTATTTGTAAAATCATTTTGTAACCATTGGTTGTTACAAATTATTTGTAAAATCATTGTTATCATACTTTGAAAATACAGTGTCTATAGCAATATTAGATGCACTATTCTCCATTAAAAATTAATTTTACCTATTTTTACTGAAGTATTTAAAAGTGGGTAAAATATTATCCACTTTAAAATGGATAAAGGAGTGTATAAAAGAAAATATTACCAATAAAATTTAATTCTCCATTATCCTCAAGCCTTGACCCTATTCCCTTCTTCTCTAATGTTAATATTCATTATTCATTTTTTGAGTAATCCAATAATCATATACACATAAGTGAATACTATGCATTTTCTGTCTCATTTATTTTTAAAATGTACATTATGAATGATAATTACCCCATACTCTTAGGGAAAAATAAGAATTCTTTTTTAATTGCCTATACCTGACATTTCTGGGGTATGGCACTGAGTCATTATGACCCAGCTGTATATACTGCGCAGCTGATAAGAATATGATATCTATAGATGTTGTAAAGTAACCAAGAATGTATTTAGTTAAACAACCTTTTCTAGAACTTCTTTTTTTACTATGTAAATCCACTTTTAGGATATTCAAGAAAATGTTATTTTCTTAATGATTCTTCTGTCAACAAACCTGAAATAGAACTCTGATATTTCTCAATCTAACTTAGCTAGTTAGCTTTATGTTAAACATTAGTTTTATCACAGGTATGTTATTTTTCTAAATCTTGCTTGTATTAGTCAATATTCTAAAAAAATTATCTGTGTTATATTTCTAACATTTCTTGTTACCTTCAAACTCTTGCAGAGTATACGGATATGACATATTGTCATCTACTGAACAGTACTGTCAAACATCCATTCTGGAAAATGATGATCATTTTCATTCATTTCAAATTTCATTTTTGAAAATAATGCTGCAAAAAATATCTTCCTGTATTTGTCCAGAATTTCTACAGTGTATACACTAAAAGAAGAAACAGCAAGTTGTATGCATAAGCTCTTCAAAATTTCATAAATGGTGCCAAATTGCTACATTAATTGGCTGTACAAAATTATGGTATACTCAACATTGTAGGTATTCCATCTTCTCCATATTCTAGACAACCCTTGAAATATCATCGTTTTCGTGTGTCCCAAAATAGTGAGTGAGGAATGGCAGCTCATTACATTTTTCTGATTATTAGTGAGTTTTAACTTATTTTCTTGTTTTGGGGCTATTCAGTATTCCAGTAGTGTGAGTTTCTTTTCACACATTTCTTTTGAATTGTTAATCTTTTTTTCATTCCCTTATATATCATTTACTCTAAAGTTAGCCAGTTTCATGTATTCTATATAAAAATTTTATTTACACATAAAATATTAACATTATTCCTTTTAATTATTGGAATATTGCTCATAAAAATTTACAAGCCTTCACAACCACAGTTTTCCCCCCTTGATTGTTATCCTTGTTATGAATTTGCTTTTTTGCCTTATGTACTCAGAGAAAATATATTTTGAATATCATTGAGTGTAACATACTATTAATTTTGAGACACACTTTTTTGTGTGCCAATAAAAAAGAAAATGACCACCAATTCAACTGTGGTAAGTCATGAATTGTTAGACATAGATCACTTTTAGAAATGCTAAAATATGAAAAATTAAAAAGGGGAAAAATGAGGAAAGCACATGGAAATAATAGGATGCTACTTTTTTATCTACAAAATATGTGAAAAATTTTGTATTTTTTTAATTTTAAGTTTTTTTAATTGTTTTTCAATTACAGTTGCCTACTTAGGGAAGAAAAGATAGTTTCTTAACTGGAGAGCATTATGGTAAGTGAAATAAGCTGTGCAGTGAAAGACAAATACCATATGATCTCACCTATAAGTGGAGCCTAATCAACAAAACAAAGAAGTAAACAAAACAGAACCAGAGACATGGAAATAAGGAATAAACTGACAGTAACCAGAGGGGAGGGGAATAATGGGACAAAGAAGGGGAAGGGTCAAGTCAAGGAACATGTATAAAGAACCCATGGACAAAAGACAATGGTGGGGGAAGGGTTGAATGTGGGAGGTGGGGTGTGGGTAGGTCAGAGGAGAGTAATGGGGGGAAAATGGGGACAACTGTAACTGAACAGAAATAAAAAAAATTAATTAAAAAAATGGCCCTGGCTGATGTGGCTCAGTGGATGGAGTGTCAGCCTGCGAACCAAAAGGTCACTGGTTTGATTCCTGATCAGGGCACATGCCTGGGTTGCTGGCCAGGTCCCCAGTTGGGAGCATGTGGGAGGCAACTGATGGATGTTTCTCTCACACATTGATGTCTCTCTCGCTCCTTTCCCCTCTCTCTGGAAATAAATAAATAAATAAACAAACAAACAAACAAAATCTTTAAAAAATGGTCTTAGGGAAACTGGACATTCATATGCAAAATAATGAAACTGGACCTCTATCTTACAGTGTTAATAAAAAATGCACTCGAAATGTATTAAAGAAAACATAGGAAAAAACTTCATTGACTTTGGTCTTAGTGATGATTTTGTAGATATGATACACAAAGCACAGCATCAAAAGCAAAAATCAACAAGAGAGACTACATCAAACCAAAAAGCTATGCCTAACAAAATTAACAATCAACAAAAAAGGAAAGGCAATCTATAGAATAGGAGAGCACATTTATTTGCAATCCACCTATCTACTAAGAGTTTCATCTCCAAGAGATTTAAGGAACTCATGCAACTCAGGAACACAAACACAAACAAAAATAATCCAAATAAAAATGGGCAAAGGAAATGAATAGACATTTTTTCCAAAGAAGATATTCAAATAGCAGGCTGGTACATAAAAAGCTGATCAACATCACTAATAATAAAAAAATGCAAATCAAAACCAAAATGAGATATCACTTCACACCTGTTAGAATGTCTGTTATCAAAAAAGACAAGCAACAACAAGTGCTGGCAAGGATGTGGAGAAAAGGGAACCCTTGTTCACTGCTGATGGGAATGTAAATTGGTAACAACACTAAGAAAAAAAGTATGGAAGTTCCTCAAAAATTTAAAAACAGAGCAATCATATGATTCAGCAATTCCACTTCTGGGAATACATTTGAAGTCCATGAAATCATTCTCTCAAAGAGATAGCTGCACCTCTATGTTCATTGTGACACTACTTACAATAGCTAAGACATGGAAACAACTTAAATGTCCACTAAGGGCTGAATGTATAAGATGTGATTTTATATATATAATGAAATATTGTTCAGCCATAAAAAATAAGGACATTTGTGACAGTATGGATGGACTGTGAAGGCATTATGGTAAGTAAAATAAGACAGAGAAAGATAAATGTTGTGTAATTTCACTTTTATATGGAATCTAAGAAACTCAAACTCATAGAAACAGAGAACAAATTAGTGATTATCAAGGATGTGGGTAGTCATCTGTGGAGAAATGGATTAAGTTGGTAAAAGGATACAAACTTCCAGTGAAAAGATGAGTAAGTTTTGAGAATGTAAAGTGCAACATGGTTACTATATTGTGTATTGTATATTTGAAAGTTGTTAAGTGACTAGATTTCAAAAATTCTCATCACACACACATAACACATAACTGTGTGAGGTGATGAATGTGTTTACTTAATCTTATTGTGGTAATCATTTTGCAATGTGTACATATATAAAATCATTACATTGTATACCTTAAACTTACACAATGTTATATGTCAATAATATCTCAAAGCTGTAAAAATAGATGAGTCACACGTGTAGTTTAAAATGTATAAATTATTATATTAAAAAACAAGTGTTTGAAACAAGTAAAAATAAGTATTTTAATATATTTAACCCAACATGCTCAAAATAGTATAACTTCAACATACATTAATATAGATTATTAATGAGATATTTAAATTTATGTTTCTTAGTGTGTATTTTACACTTACAGAACATCTCATTTCAGACTAGTCACTTTTCAAATACTCAACAGCCATATGTGGCTAGAGGCAACCGTATTGTTTGTCATAGCTCCAGACTTTTTAGGGGATAGGACTTTATTTATTTATTTATTAAGATAAAACACAAGTCCAATTTTTTAGAGTTGTCCACAGTCAGTAATGGTGATCTTCTTGCTGGTCTTGCGATTCCTGGACCCCCAGCGCTCCATGGCTGTCACAACACCCGTGCCGTCTTTCACCTGGTCAAAGACCACATGCTTGCCATCCAGCCACTCA